AATGTGCAGACAAATTGTGCAACTCCAAATGTCATGGAAGTTTAAATTGTGCAAACAAATAACGTTTTACCACTCTTACTTATGTTTATGTTTCAAATTATTCTTTTCTACATATATTTGTATTTTTTAGCTGGCAAAGTTAAGTAAACACTTACTGTAGCTGCTATACCCTCACAATATCGCCGAAAACGATATTTTTTACTGTAAAACCATTGCAAGTCAATGTAGCATTTGTCAGCTTCGATGTGGATAGCTATTTCTGACCATTATACCCAATGTGCACACCACTGGCTTGACAATTGTATTTTTTTGCTTTTATATTTATAGCTTTCTATTTTTATGTTATAACTAGTTAAATCAAAATGTTGTTTTGCCATAAATTATTTCTAGTTTCTAGATAAATTTAGTGCAGACAAAAGTAACTTACTTATTATAAAAAAATAGGGGTTGGGTGATAAGAAACCAAAAAATAGGTTGTATGTATATTTTAATGCCAGCATTGAAAAATGTCGTAAAAAATTTCTACCAAAATTTTAAAAATTAAGGGTGAAAACAACCCTATCAATTAGAGATATGAAGTTACCACTTTGACCTACTGAATGCGCATATAATAATTTTCTTGAGCGGGATGAAAATGATTAAAATTACTAAAATGGCTATAAAGAAATAGGGGTTATGATAAAAACTAAAATTTAGTGTTGTATGTATTTTTAATTCCACATTATAAAAAAAATAAAACAAAAGAATTGTCCAAAAATTTAAAAAAAAGTTAAGGGTGAACAACCCTTATCACTTAGGGTATGAAAAATAGATGTCAGCCGATTCTCAGACCTACTGAATACGCATATAAAAATTTGGTAAAAATCGGTAAAGTTGCTTCGCGGAAAGTATGGAAACAAACACTGTGACACGCAAATTTTATATATATAGATTAGCTTTAGTAACTATCATCGAGTCAATTAGTTAATTCATTTTTGCATATATTTTACTTTCATTATTATAACCTATTTATTGCTGTTCAAACTTTTGTTCTAAATTATTATGTGTTTCAATTTAAAACCAAACTTTGCTTAATAAGTAACCTAGTTTTACCTGTTCAAACTTAATCATTGTGTGTGTTCTGTAATTCTGTTTTATCCTGAATCTAGAACGGCGACTGCGGTCTTGCGCTTGTAAAAACTTGTTCCAACAAAATTTTATTTTAAAATTCATCAATTAACGCTTTGACTGCAGTTGGTTAGTAACTCTGCATACATTACCTAGGTAATACATGCATTCATTAGTTAAAGTGTTCATTCTAATAATGAGTGAACACTTTGACAGCTGTTGGTTAGTAAATGTATACATTACCTAGTTAATGCATGCATTCACTAGTTAAAGTGTTCATTCTAATAGTGAGTGAACACTTTGACTAAAATGGGTAGTGAATGTATGCATTGACTAGTCAATGTATACATTGACTGTAATGTACACTTTGACTGCAACATATATATCATACTGTGGAATCTCGGTAATCCGACAATCACTTTGCAGGGCATTGTCGGATGAGGGATTTGTCGGATTATAGAAAACTGCCTAAGAGCCCTTACAGTCCGGAATTTTTTTCACAAAAATACCTTGTAATCCGACAAATTACAAATCCTAAAGTACAAACATATGGCATGACCATGTCGGATTACAAGGTGTGCCAGATCAAGCCGGGTCTTATTGGATCTGTAATTTATCGGATTACAAGGTACTCTTATGTAAAAAATTCCGTACTGTAGGGGTTTTAGGCAGCCCTCTATAATCCGACGAATTCGATAATCCGACACTGCCCTGCAAAGTGATTGTCGGATTACTGAGATTCCACTGTATATTAAAATGTAAGTGTTTTATTCTCGTAACACCTTTTTACTCACCTTTTCCGATGATTTTCGGGTAAAATCTTTGAATTCATATTAAAACCTAGTTGTTTCGTTGTAAATTTCCTTCGTTATGATGTGAATATTGACCATATTTGTAGTTTGTAACATCCTGTATATAAGTTTTCCCAACCGAGCGTAGGAAATCGCTTATATTTGTGAGTTTTGAGTGTTCTTTGTTTTAAACTTGGGATTTTCCGTCTGGAACACCCTGTATATTTGTTTTTCTTTGTGTCCGTGAAAATTATGCTTCAGCTGTTGTTTTAGGGCTTTCCTTTTTGCACTTCGAATTTTCTTTTTGCAACACCCTGTTTATTAGTTTTCCGGAGCATCGGTTGAAAGCGAGCAATATTTGTAGTGTTTAAATGCTTTCACCTTTGATCGTTGAATTTTCTATTTGTGACTTCCTGTATAATAGTTTTCCTTCACATCCCTGAAAATTTTGCTTTGACCCTTATTAGAATTTAACTTCTGGCACTTTGAATTTTCTTTCTAACACCCCGTGTCTTAGTTTCCCATACGTCGGGTGAAAAACAATCGATATTTGTAGTGTTTTTCTGTTTGTACTTTAAATTTTATTTTTTGTAACACCCTGTATATTTGTTTCCATTTTCCATCACCTAGAAAATGGGCTATTTACTAATTTCATTATCTCGGTAATACATTTTACAATAGTACTTGCATGTGCGCGGCTATGCAGATCGTAAGTCCTACTTCAATATGGCTACATGTATTTTGTTGACTTGTAAAATCTAAACATGTACTCTATTGTTAATTAATAAATAAGTAGAAAGATATACTTCTTTGATTTGTTTTACCCCTTCTATAATTTCAGGAACAGGTCTCTTCTCTCTCAGTGGATGATCCCCACTATAAAAATTGTTAAGGTATCCTGTGTGATTTGTGTGCTCCTTCTTTCATTTCAGCTACAGGTCAGAACTTGCAAGAATATTTTTATGTGTCGCCTCGCTTGAGGCGACTTAAAACTTAGAAATATTTGAACAAGACCTTATAAGGATTGTCCTTATAAGGAGTTCCCTCTCTTTGGGGTGATCCCCACCATAAAAATTGTTGATATGCCTGAGTATTTCGGGGATGAAGCGCAGAGACATCGCAGCTGTAGGATGGGCCGGGAGCAATGGACACATCGAAGCAGTTGACTGTCTTAAAGAACGACACGCCGACAAAAATTTAAAATTACCGTCACCCCTATCTCTCTTTTCTTCTTGTACTCTCTTCTCTTCTTTTCTTTCTCTTCTTATTTTTCCTATTCTTCCCTGCTGCTCGCTCTACTTTCCTTATTCGACCATCATCTTCTACTTATTCCTATTGTTGCTTCGTCGTACTCTGCTTTTCAAGTTATTTCTGGCATTTGAATCTTGAATTTCTGTGGTATGCAACCCACATTTCTTAAATGTCTTATTATTCAATAAAATTGGCTCTACAACTGAGATTCGAACCATGAACCTCCAGCATGCTAGCATGTACACATACCACCTGAACCACAACGCTCACTTACCAAGCTCTATTCGTTTCAGGTATAAATGTTGTTCTTTATCTCCGCTTTTAAAACAACAACATTTATTTATCTCTTATATGCATTTCAAACACGGGTAATCAAATATCTTTAAATCTAATTCTGAAAACGACCATAGGAACACAGAGAGATAACTGCTTCAAAATATACTATTAAATTATATTTTATTGAAACGCATATAATCAAGACAGTACATACACAAATTTAATTCTGTTACATGAAATTTAAGTACATGTGTTCCACGTTACTTACAAAAGTTACGTAATTTACTAGTTTCACTTGCTTGAATGTTTAATTTTCACTAACTGGTACGGAACAGATTTTACGGACTTCATTCCTCACCGGAAACAATCGTGGTATATTTCCACGATTGAATTATTTAATAAATGCCCAATAATTTATAAATCTAGTAAGAACTCTTCGTAAGGACGAGAGATATCCGACGGGCAACTGAAAACACGTACGTACATTGAAAAAATAACTTAATTTATACTTCCACGCGCGATAACTTATTAATTACACGTCGCATACATCTATCAATGCTAAATTCTATCCGTGCTGACCGATAATTAAACTACCGACTTATAACCTCAAAAACGTGAAAAATCACCACGAGAACCGACCGACTTACAAAACATGTGCACGATACGCAACGAACACAGACCTGCAAGAATTCTATAGAAGGGGTTTGGGATAAAACCACTCACTTTCAGATTTCATGGGCGACAATTCAATAACTGTAAGCCACACTTGCTGACATTCATTCTCATTCATGCCACCATTACATTAACATCTCAAGAAACCCGATTAATAACTATGCAGATAGACGCACAAACTAAACACGTGTTCACGACACCACCGCGCACGACCGACTAAGCAGAGAATTGTTAGAAAATTGTCAGCCGACGTAAACATCTAGTTGGTGAAAAAATCACCCTTTCATGCAAATTTTCTCCCAGGTCGAATTCCTGCATACAACAAATACAACCCGATGGAGGGTGAAAAATCACTTTAATTTGACATCTCTAAAGATTGCGCGGAAATTTCTAAGCAACCTCTCGCGAGCTATAGCGATAAAACTCTAACAATTTCACTCTCCATGTGAAAATCCTACTTAACACCCCAATTTTCAAATTTACCAATGCGGCATTCCCGCAACAAATTAATACAACGTCACGGAGAATTTAATTTAACACCTCTAGACACGTCCCTTTTGCGAGTTAAAGCTAGACAACAGTGCTGGAACTCCCAAATACCCTTATCCGCATTACTACAACAAATAAATCTCAAAGTCGTCCCATTAGCAACGGAAGCAATAATACAATACAGTAAAAGTCGTGAGGCGTATGTGCAATACAATGTAAACTCTTGATAACCCGTTTTATGACGCTAAAGTATGTACAAGAAGGTTGGTTTGTGGCAAATGGCTGGGCGAATAAAATCCGTCTTTAAACCAACTAAACTTAATGATTTTCGTTATAAAGAGTTTACACTGCATGTTATTCCACAAGCATTCATCAAATCAATCATCAAAGGTCCCTAAATATATACACTTCGAATTATAAGTGAATTAAAAGAATGCGTTTATGGTGAAAAAGTCAGGAAGTTCTTTTGTGTCATTCCCTGTGCGCATTATTTATACTGCTTTAAAAATAATGTGTGTGCGCAAGAAGTGTTTTCAAGATAAGCAATAAATTATAGAGGTATCGCATCCCGTCGAAACGCAAATGCCTTCCACCAGGCTGGAACGTGTTCCTTGGATGATGTCGTGGTAGGCGATTATCGAGTGCATTCTCCACCGTAGGATGCATCTGTGCGTGTTTACGCACAAAATTAATTTCTATAATAATATTTCTAAAATTAAATTTGATATGATAATAAAATACATGTGATACTAAGTTAACTGCCGCGTTCAAATTAAATGAAATTCCAGTAAACAAAAATAATGAAAATGTGCACTTTACCTTTCTTTCTCGCGGTGCATGCAGGTCGCTGGAACATGGATAATACGGACGCCATTGCTGGTAGCCAAAAGATGATCTTCGGGAATATATTTGGCGCAGAATTCACTAAGAACTAAAATTAAATCACATTTAACTGCAGTAATACCAGACACGCTTAGATAACCAAAAAGTTCACAACAATAACAAAATAAGATAACGTTCTAACCGTGCGTAAGCCAAGACCTTGCTTGCACAAATAGGTGAATTAAACGGGGACAGTGATTTCAGAAAAAGAAAATAAAAAGTCTGCACTTTACCGATTTTTCCCCGCTACCGCGCAGAACATTGTCCATGTTCCCGGGACAAAATACCAAACACAACGACACAGATAGACCGCAATTAAACGAAATAATATTCCAACACACGTTGCAAGACGTTGCAGGTACATGCTACGTGCTACGAGCGTGTAGTGTAAACAAGTTGATAGCACACGGCCATCTTGCATCACGCACAACAAACGTAAATAAAATTGACGATTGTGTATATTCGACACCTATAATCCACTAATAAAACACTAAACACTCGAAACACAGACAATCGAAATGAACGCGATTTACCAAATTACAAACTCAAACTAAAATGAACAGCCGCGAAAAACACGTCCGACCCATTCCACGATCGGCACAAAACTGCGCTGAGTACACCTCCGCGTGTTTTGAAAATTGCAAGAAAAGGCGTAGCTTTGGTGGTCATTTTGAGGCAATTACGATGAAATTTCGCAAGAGTTCAGGGTGAATTGTAAGAATGCACTCTTGCCCTATCATAAAATCGAAAAATAACTAAATTATAGAAAAACCGCGTTCCACCGCGTGTTTTGAAAAATGCAAGAGAAGGGAAAACTTTGGCGGCCATTTTGTGGCAATTAAGACCGCATTTCGCGAGGCGTTAAGGGTACTTCTTAAAATGCACTCTTGTTCTATCATAAAATAAAGAAAAAGCTAAAATATGACAAAGGGTTCCCGAAATATGGTCTGCTTTCCACCGCGTGTTTTGAAAATTGCAAGAAACAGTTACGATCGAATTTCGCAGAGCTTCAGGGAGCATTTTAAAAATGCACTCATGTCCGATTATAAAATAAATAAAAACTAAAATATCATGAAAGGTTCCCGAGATATGGCCTGTTTTCCACCGCCTGTTTTAAAATTGCAAGAAAGGGGCTAATTTTGGCGGCCATTTTGAGGCTGTTATAACCGAATTTCGCGGGGGTACAAGGGTGCATTTTGAAAATGCACTCTTGTCCTATCATAAAATAAATAAAAACTAAAATATGGCATAAGGTTCTCGAGGTATGGATTGTTTTACACCGCGTGCATTGAAAAATGCAAGAAAAGGGAAAACTTCGACGACCATTTTGACGCAATTACAACCGAATTTTGCGGGGTTAAGGGTGCATCTTAAAATGCACTCTTGTCCAATAATAAAATAAAGAAAAACTAAAATATGACAAAGTGTTCCCGAGATATGGCCGGTTTTCCACCACTTGTTTGGAAAATTGCAAGAAAAGGCCTAACTTTGACGGCCATTTAGAAACTGTTACGACAGAATTTCGCGGAGGTTCAGGGGTACATTTTAAAAGGCACTAATGTCCTATACTAAAATAAAGAAAAACTTAAATAGGACAAAGGGCTCCCTAGTATAGCCTGTTTTCCACCGCGTGTTTTGAAAATTGCAAGAAAAAGCGTAACTTTGGCGGCCATTTTGATACAATTACCATCGAATTTCGCGGGGTTCAATGGTGCATGTTAAAAATTCACTCTTGCCCTATCATAAAATCGAAAAATAACTAAATATGGCATAGGGTTTTGAGATATGACCTGTTTTCCATCACGTGTTTTGAAAAATGTAAGAAAAGGGCAAACTTTGGCGGCCATTTTGATGCAGATAGAACCGAAATTCGCTGAGCTTCAGGGGTGCATTTAAAAATGCACTCTTGTCCTATCATAAAATAAAAAAAACTAAAATATGACAAAGGGATCCCGAGATATGGCCTATTTTCCAAAGCATGTTTTGAAAATTACAGAACGTAACTTTGGCGGCCATTTTGAGGCAGTTACGATCAAATTTCGCGGAAGTTCTGGGGTGCATTTTAAAAATACACTCTTGCCCTATCATAAATTAAATAAAAATCTAAAATTTCACGAAGGGTTCCCGAGATATGGCCCGTTTTTCACCGTGTGTTTTGAAAATTGCAAGAAAAGGGCAAACTTTGGCGGCTATTTTGAGGCAATTACGACCGCATTTGACAAGGGTTCAGGGGTGCATTATAAAAATGCGCTCTTGTCCTATCATAAAATAAAGAAATAATTAAAATATGACAAAGAGTTCCCGAGATATGGCTTGTTTTCCACCGTGTATTTTGAAAAACGCGAAAAATGACAATCTTTGTCGTGTCCTTCGTTTTGATATTACCCGCAATTAAAATAAACAAGGCACCCTTAATTCGCGAGCTATTGCAACACGCAGGTCATAAAACATTTGACCGAATAATATAACTTAATAAAAACTTACCAATGCAGTGATTGCTAGGGCACAGCAAGTACTGCAATTAAAAGAAAACATAAGTTAAAATAATATGCAATTGAACGCATCCAGCGCATATATAAAACTTATATAAAAATTGTGGATATTAAACGCACAAATTAATCATTAACTAAACACTGCAGATGCACGTTACAACTAAATAGTAAATTGATGAATAATAAAATCGAAAAATAACTAAAATATGACATAGGGTTCCCGGGATATGGCCAGTTTTCCATCGCGTGTTATGAAAATTGCAAGAAAAGGCCAAACTTTAGCGGCCATTTTGAGGCAGTTACGACCGAATTTCGCGGGGGTTCTAGGGTGCATCTTACAAATGCACTCTTACCCCATAATAAAATCGGGAAATAGCTAAAATATGACAAAGGGTTCCCGAGATATGGCCAGTTTCCCACCGCGTGTTTTGAAAATTGCAAGAAAAGAGCAAACTTTAGCGGCATTTTTGACGTAGTTACGGCCTAATTTCGCGGGGGTTCAGAGGTGCATTTTGAAAATGCACTCTTACCCTATAATAAAATCGAAAAATAACTAAAATATGACAAAGAGTTCCTGAGATATGGCGAGTTTTCCACCGCGTGTTTTGAAAATGGCAAGAAAAGGGCAAATTTTAGCGTCCATTTTGAGGTAGTTACGACAGAATTTTGCGGGGGTTCAAGAATGCATCATAAAAATGCACTCTTACCCTATAATAAAATCGAGAAATAACTAAAATATGACCAAGAATTCCCGAGATATGGCCATTTTTCCACCGCGTGTTTTAAAATTGAAAGAAAAGGGCAAACTTTAGCGACCATTTTGAGGCAGGTACGACCGAATTTAGCGGTGGTTCAGGGGTGCATCTTAAAAAATCTGTCTTACGCTATAATAATATCAAGAAATAACTAAAATATGACAAAGGGTTCCCGAGATATGGCCAGTTTCCCACCGCGTGTTTGGAAAATTGCAAGAAAATGGCAAATTTTGTCGTTTTCTTCATTTTCTATATTACCCGCAATTAAAATATTGCAACATGCAGGTCATAAAACATTTGACCGAATAATATAACTTAATAAAAATTTACCAATGCAGTGCTCATTGATTGCTTGGGCACAGCAAGCACTGCAACTGCAGTAAAACACAAGGTAAAATCAAAACATCGCATACAATATAATATTATATTCAAACATCGGAGATAACAAAACATTCTGTGCTGAGAAGCGCAAGTCAGATATAAGTTACTTACTCAAGTACGAAGGGTTCTCCTAATGACGGGAAACAAAATGGCAACAATATGCATTTGGAATGTACACAGCAAACGCACACATATTTACACAAAATTATGAATATTAAACACGCAATTAATCATTAACAAAATACTCAATTGAAGAGTCCGATAAAACGATACGAATCGCGCGAAATACGTTTAGATGCGCCAGCAAGCAACGATGCGGCAGTTCCCAATAAGACAATGTGCCTGCAGCATGAACCCCGCAGGTAAAAGCAATAGAATTGTGCGTGAATTGCAACAGGCATGTTACCTGCGATCACAACTGAACGTGACAACGTGCGGCGTAAGGGGATTGCAACGACGACACACGGGCATTCGATAAGAAAGTGTAAATTGTGTTCAAAACAAGCACAATTCTCGTATCGAATGCCAACGTTTGCTGTTAATATAGAAATAAAGAATATAATTCTATTTTATGATTTTTAGTACAGGCAAGTGCCATCTCTGAATGCTAAGAATAGTAGTCCCGCAATTAAAATTATTAAAACCAATCAAAAATTAAAATTCGAGTTGTATAATTCTAATTTCTCATGGAAAAGATTTTCGTGGGGTAAAAAGGTAAAAAAACGGGACTAAAAGTGCTAAAAAGTGCAAAGTGCAAAGTGCAAAAAGTGCTTCCTTTTTTCACCCAATTTATTCAATTGCGAATATCTCGTAAACTAAAAGCTGCAGAAAGGAACGGATTGAAAAATATTGAAGTCTCAACAATTCATGATAAGACTACCTACGCGATTTGCAATAGACACGATATACTCTGCGATTCAAACTAAATTAGAATATGCTGCATGCAGCAAGTTGATGCGGCGTGAGAAGACGGTGCGTACACATGCGATAAAAGTTGTTTATATCGAATCGCTGATAACAACAACACTGTATACAAAAATTATTCTTCGTGGCCACGTTTGTCGATAAATATAAAAATAAGTCGTATAACTCGATTTTATGATTTTAGTACATCCTAATGCTATCTTATGAATGCTACAGATAGTAGTCCCTGAATTTAGATTAATAAAATTAATAAAACAATAAAATTCAAATCATGAAATTATTACTCTTATGCAAAAGATTGACCGATTTTTACATCAAAATATTTAAGGCATATTTAATTAAATGATGGATTGCTAAGGTTATATTTTAGCAATGAACAAATCCAACTGAATTTTAAGACAATTTATACTAAAATAAAACACTCGTAAAATTCAGTGTTTTGTTGCAACTTCAGTAGAAAAATTATAAATTCCCCCAAATCCGAAGTTTTCTGCTGAAAATTATCACATTTGATTAAATTACGGGTAAACTATGAGTCCAACAGTAAAATTTTACTAAAAATAAAATGATCAGGAGAATGGTTTATAGCAACATCCAAAAATAAAACTTCTAAATTTTCAAATTTAATTTTTCTGTGAAAAAATGTGAGTTCACATTTGATCAAATTCAGTGGGAAAACTATGAGTCCAAGAGTAAAATTTTATTAAAATAAAATGCTCAGGGAGACTCATAACAACTTCCAAAATAAAAACTTTTAAATTTACACATTTAATTTTTCTGTGAAAATGTAAGTTCACATTTGATAAAATTGTGGAAAACTATGAGTCCAAGAGTAAAATCTTTTATTAAAATAAAATGTCTAGGGAGACCTTTCTATAACAACTTCCGAAATAAAACTTTAAATTTACAAAATTAATTTTTTGTGAAAATGTAAGTTCACATTTAGTCAAACTATGGGAAAACTATAGGTCCCAAAGTAAAATATTACTCAAATAAAATGCCTAAGTGAGCACTTCTTACAGGAAGATACAAAAATAAAAACTTTCACCCCAAATTTAATTTTTCTGTGAGCTGTGTGTCTACATTTTATCAAATTCAGGAGAAAACTATTAGTTCAAGAGTAAAATTTTACAAAAATAAAAATACTGAGGAGGCCGTTTTAGGGTAACATTGAAAATAAAACCTCAAATTTTCAAATTTAATTTTTCCTGGGAAATGTAAGTTCACATTTAGTCAAATTACGAAAAGCTATGAGT